AATGCTGCCCAGTTGTTCTTTGAGTACCCAGCCCTCGGAGCTGGAAGACAGGGACAGGGAGCAGAATGAAGCCCCCAAATCCACAAAGAAATGATCAGTGACACCACTGAGCCACACACAAGTCCATGGGGCCAGATGGGATCCATCCAAGTGTGCTGAGGGAGCTGGTGAAGTGCTCACTGAGCCACTTCCCATCAGTTCTCACCAGTCCAGGCTCACTGGGATGTCCTGGTTGACTGAGGTTCACAAATGTGACAAATCACCATAACCCAGCCAGCAGCCCACAGGCTCCTTGTTAAAAGCCAACAGTGAGATGGGACAATTAATGAAGTGGGGCTGAGTTTCTGCTGCAAGACCTGTACTCCCCTACTCCTCTGACTCACTGGAAAGAAGAGATGATCAGAAGTGTGTTGATGGAGCTAAATAAATGACTACAAAACGCATGCAGAGAGACACACACTGGATACAAACATCTCTTCTGAGGCCAAAAAAATCTTTTAAAGCCAAGGTTAGGTGGAATCTGGTATCCTTTAAGAGATGGTGTCCCTTGATTCCCCAACCTTGGAAAAGCAGCACCACAGATCAGTGAGAGACTTGTCCTTTCCTCCTGCCTACCCCCTCCACCCTTGGAATACACACTAGGAAGATTTTCTAACAAGCTCTATAAGGATGAGAGGGTTGAACCTCTTGGCCAAGAAACAGCTTCTAGCTCCAAATTGTGTCAAGATGCCAGAATGCATCTAATTCTCTTATCACCCAGAAGCACTGCCCATAACACCATGGTAAGACAAGGAAGTTTTGTTACTGTTTTAGGGAGGAAAGCTTTATGGTACAGAAACCAGTTATTTGCCCAAGTTCGTATGGGAAGTCTGTGGCACTGCTGGGACCTGAAACCAAGTGCCTCAGGGTCTGGGCTTGTTCCAGCATGACTCCAAGGGTTCCTGCTTTCCCTGCACACGAGTCAGTTGTATGTAATACCTGCCTGGATGAACAGACTCCAAACATACCATCTCCACAGTAAGTGCCAAGCAAGGCATTTTACCTTTCCAGGCAAATTCATGATTCCAGACACCAAACTAGTTAGGAGCCCCAATATCTTCCAAGCCCACCCATTTTTGAGGATGAGAGAGCATTTGGAAAGCTCCCTGCAGCTCCCCGCACATCTGTGGCATGATCTGAAGTGTTAAGGCAGCCCTAACAAAGCCCTGAGGAGCAGAAAACACCAACGTCCAGGTGCAGGCACCCCAGGCCACCTGCTGCCTTTGCCTCTGCCCACTCTCTGGCTTGCTGTGCTCACAGGGAAAGGAAGGATTAACAGGGAATATGTAACAGCAGCTCATCTGCACATGAGGGATCCCAAACCCAGCGCAACCCAGGACAACCTGCAGGAAAACTCCTGGCTTAAGGACAAGGCAGCTCCCAGGGCTGCCTGATTCCAGAGGTAGGTGTCCATTTTGCTGGAATGCCCCTGCACAAGGCTGAAGTGCTGGCTCCTCCTCTCTCCTCCATGTTAGACCTTACCACTGATGCTATCGATCCATCATATGTGCTGCTACAGCTACGAACTGGCTCAGGGAGGGCTTGTCATGAAGCAGGATGCTGAACAGTTGACACTGCATTAGACCAAAACCCCCACTTCTGACCCCAGAAAACATAAGGCCTCCTCAGTATCTAGGGCATGCACAGGTTAAACTCCCACTGGGGATTCCTTGTCACCAAAGCAAAAACCCAGGTGACAAATGGATGTGAGATAAGCTCTGCTATGGCAAGCATGAGCTGTGTGTGCAGATCCATATTAGCATCTCATCAAGAGGAGACTGTGCCCACCCAGAGCAGTTCAGATGCAAGCAGGCTGGAGGTGAAGGATTTAAAAGGACAGAATCCCTCGTGGTGGCAGTTCTCCAGCAAGCTCTTAAGTTCTGCTTTTGGTTTTGCTCCTGATTTAAAGGAAGAAAAGGGAATTCATGCTTAAAGCACAGGGGAAGCACGTGTCCTGCAGGCAGCCTGGTTTAGCAGAGAGCAGTACCTACAGGCTTGCTCAGAAAAGCCTGGCACAGCCCAAGTTGAGGCATGTGGCACATTAGCCACATCCAAAGGGCACAGCCACCATAACACCTGCTCTGTCCTGCAACTGGCATCACCCCCGTGCTGCTCCCAGCACAGCCACTGCCTTAACAGAAATAGGGAGGCCCTCAGAGACATGGGCTAGTGGTGGACTTGGCAGCCCTGGGGTAACGGTTGGACTTGATGAGCTTAAAGGTCTTTTCCGACCTGGTTGATTCTCTGTTTCCCCCCAAGAAATCCAAGAGGCACTGGGAGAAGGTGGTGTCCCTGAACAGACAAGGCTGTTCCCAGCTATTGGGATGGTGGCACTAGATCAGCCAGGAAGTACCCCAGAGGGCAGTGCTGCCGCAGCTGTACTGGTCTCACCATCAGAAAGCATTTCCTGAGACAGCGTTTTCAAGGTGTAGATTTTTTAACCCCCTTGAGCAGTACATGACATTGAGGCACCTTCAGTCCTCAGCCAGCAGAGTTCATCAGCATCCACTTCATCAAGCTCTGTAGCTGTGTCTCACCTCCTGAGCAGCTTGGAAATGTGGAAGCGCTGAGACAGTCACCTGGGGAAGGGGCAGGTGACTTTCCCACTCTGCAAACCGTATGGAGACATGTCCAGGGACATTTGCACTGACACCAAAGCATCCTTCCTCTGTTAGCTCCACCTCATCTGCTTCCCTCAAAAGAAGCCACAAAAAGTATAGGAAAAAACTGGCAAATTGATCCTGTTTGATGTGCAGAGCCAAGGCACATGATGAGGTCACTGCAGAAGCAATGGAGGAAGATCCTAAACTGAGACTTGGCTCTCTCTGCTGCTCCAGTCCGAATCCCGAACACAAACTCAGCACAAGGTTCACTATTCCCCATGCTCCAGCTGCCTTTACTTCCAATATTTATGGAAATGAGAGCGTTTTAACCCAGGATAGCCTCCCATCGCTCTGATGCTGCACTGCAGAGATAAGAGTTATAACAGTTGCAAGTGCGGCTGGAGGAGGACGTTGCTCTGTTCAAGGAAAATCAATGCTAAATGACACTACAATTCCTCCTTCACCTTGTTTTATGGAAATGAGGAAAAGCAAAGACAAACTACAGCACTAAATCTCACACACTATTTTTAAAGCTTTATAATAGAATTAATAAAACTACATTCTTCAAGCTCACAGAAGTAGTGAAATACATAGAAAAGAGAAATTGTAATAAGTTTTCTCTGATCTGAAGCAATGACAGGGCATCTAGAGATTTATAGGTGAAAACTGGAGAAGAAATGTTAAAATATGGGCTGCAGAAAAAAACAGTAGTTTTGCTGGGAAATTGCCGTAACACTTCAGCTACTCCAGGTTTGGTTTAGAGGCTGGGTGCCAGCAGCAGCTCTTTATGCCCCATCCCTGGCAGTGTTCAAGGCCAGGTCGGACACAGGGGCTTGGAGCAACCTGCTCTAGTGGAAGGTGTCCCTGCCCATGGCAGGGGGTTGGAACTGGAGGAGCTTTCAGGTTCTTTTCCAACCCAAACCAGTCTGTGATCCTACGACGTACAAGCGTAAGTACAAAATTCCCAGCCTACCCTCCCAGGCTGAAGGTATTTTGTGAGCCTCACAGAACAAAATACTAGAACACAGTGGGCTCTAGAGACATTCTGCCCATTTCCAAAGGGACAGACCCACACTTACATAATGAAAAAAGCCAGGAAAAAAAGAGCACCTTCCTACTGCATTATGTATTTGAAACAAAAGCAAGACTTTGTTGTGGGGATTGAGACCAGCCAGAAGTCAAATACGCAGCAGCTCTTTCACACTGACTACTTCAAGAAAATCTTGTTGCTGTCCACCAGAGAAGAACAGAAACTTGAGACAAACACATTCTGAAAGGCAGGAGAGAACTTCAGTTCAACTTTCTCAGAGGCTACATTGAGAGCAGTAATTGTAGGAGCCAGGATCAGGACTTTCTAGCCCTAAGACACTGGCCAGAGCCCTTACACCATCTTTCAGCTGCAAATTAGATTTTATTTGTGTGTGCAGAAAACCTGATTTTCCTGCCACACATTGAGCAAAAACTATCTGGGAAGTTTTAAGTACCAGAACACAGTGATTATTGGGCTGTGTGAGCAGGGGCAATGACACAGCCACTCCAGAGCTGATTTTACTGCATGAACTTGCAGAAGAGCACAAGAAGCATCCAAGACCATGCACACATGCCAGCAACTCCCACCTCCACCTAAAGGGAAGGACTCTGAGGAGTCACTTCAAGTATCAGAAGCTACCACTAAAAACTCCCCAATTCTCAGCAATAAGCCTCTGCTTAAAGCTATTCCAAGACGCAAAACATCACCTCAACATTTCCCATGTCCTAAACAGTAACACTAAGTCCTAAAATTGATAAACAGGCAGTTTCAAGAAGCAGTAAGACCCTGTACAGGCACACTGCTGTCACTGGGTGAGCATACATCACCACTGGGCAGTCATGGTTCCCCTTTCCCAGCAGGATGGGGGGGACCATCCACAGTGCTCTTCACCCCAAAAGCTTACTGTGAGGGAAGGGCAGCTGCTTTATATAAAGTTAAATGAATTCACCTAGGGAAGTACTGAATTAAAACTGCTGGTAGCAGCAGTGAGCACCAGGCTGGGAAGTCAAGGTCTGCTCCTTCTGTGCCAGAGCCTTCCCCTCCCATCTGGGAGCCAAAGCAGGTTAAAAGATCTGCTCACAGGAGGTACAGAGACACCCACGAGCTGGGTACACTACCTGAGATCCTCTGCTGCTCCTGGGAAAAGTCAATGCCTTCGCCGATGGAACTCATGATTTTCTCAATCTGAAAAGGGAAGAAAGCACATGCTGCATTATTCATAAAGCCTCAGGAAAAGTTAAAGGCAGCCCTGGGATTTCTTGTGCCATGTGACTGCCAAAGAAACCCAGGAAAGGATGGTAAGATACCTCTGACCCAGAAAAGGTACCCTCAACACCTTGCCTGGAAAAGGCTTGGTTAGGATGGATGACTCAGGAGGGATCCTTAGAGGCTTAGGACTCCACAGAGCCTTTCCTTCCAAAACTTACCAGTGCCTGAAAATAAACAGCTCCAACAAAACCATCCCTCCGGAGCACAAAATTAGGGAGGAGAAAGAAGGAACCCAACTCCTCCACTCACCCTGTACAAACATGCAGCCCCCTCCACCAGCAGCAAAGCCCAAGAAACGCAGTTCCCCAACTCCTTCACAGCACATTAAGCGAACTCAGCTTCACCTCAGCCTGGGTTCTGCTGGTTATTTTTGGTTTGTTAGTTTTTGGGGGGTTTTAAACCACATTTCCCGATCCTGTGCATGGACGCTGCCCTCCTCACTGCTCCCACTGAGAGCAGGGATGCTTAGACTGAGTTTGAAAGTACAAGCAACAACATTATGGGGGCAAATGCCTCAACTACCCACGAGAGGGAGCTAAAGACAATTCCATCCCCTGAGTTCAGCGATTCACAGTCAAGAGCTCAAGACAAACCTCACGCAGTATGAAGAAAAAGGTAAAACCTCCTGCCTGAGACGGTGGTTTTTCAAGTGTAAGTAAGAGCTGCATATAAATGACTGCATTTGCCACCCAAAAAAATAAAAAGCAAGTTGCAATTTTCCTACAACCTACAGGATCCTTTCTTAAATGAGAAGAGAAACATTTCCAAACCAATTGTTGAACAGGATTTGTAAATTGAAGCTTTCTAATGCAGTGCTGCAGAGGGAAAACTGACAGTGACAGTTACTGGGTTAATTCTGTTGAGATGAAAGACCTGATAAATTGCACCTCAACCACTTCAGAATTAAAATGATCCAAAGCACTAAAGCCCACTGTTTTCCAAAGAGCAATGAGACACTTCAGAGGCTCAGGTCTGGCTGCTTACCCCAGTCTTCAATCTATTACCAAGCAGAAAATTAAAGAGCCTCAGTGAGAGAATCCTGAGAAGAATCTCCCAAGAAAATCTTCCTGTGAGGCACTTGAGAGCGCTGCTGCTGAATGCAAAGCACTGACTGGCAGTGAAGGGGGGGGGGAAATCAACTTCAACAACTTTTTTTTTCTCCTGGTCTTTTAAGGACAGATTTGGGGAAGACATCCAAGTTTTCCTGACCTCATCCCACAGCCGCCTCTGCACTGTCTGCATCCCACTGGGATGCTTTGCTTGCTGCAGCTGCACAAGCTCCCAAAACTGCCTGACCAGCAAGCAGGGTGCCTGGTAACACTGTAAGGGGCCAGGACTCTGACTTCCACTCAAAATCAATGGCAGTTTGAAGCTGAGCTCCAGCAGACAGGGGTTTATTTTGGTGTAACAACAATAGAAAAACCAGACAGTGTTAAAAGGCTCCTGCCAAGTCAGATCTCCAACAAAGTCCTTCCTGTTTGCAGGGAACACCCAGGCAGGGCACTAGTAGCATGAAAGGAGAAGGCATTCATGCAATCTATAGAAGAGGCATTAAAGGATATGGATCCTCTGCCCCTAGAAAACCATGAGGCTGAGAACTTCTACTGGCTTGAAATACAGTTAATGCTACTTTACTAGGAGCCTTGAAGAGCAGCCTGGAAAAAATAACCAGAATTCAGCATTCCAACATGTATGGAAAAGTAAAGCATGTTCTCAGAAGAAATCTCAGTTAAAGGATGAGTTTTAAATCACTGGATGCACAGGTCCTACCACCAACATGCCCTTCAGTACATAAGGAAAAAGCACCCATTGCTCTTCCGCCCCTGGACACAAGAACAACTTGAACAAGACCTTTGCTAAGACAGCTGGGAGATACCCCAGCGCTGGAGCAACGCTGGGCTTCCATCAGGCTGCTGGAGCCGTGCAGGTCTCAGACAAAGGCCAAACACCATCAAATACTCACACAAGGGTTAACTAAGTCACTAACAGGGTGGCAGGAGGAGCAGTCAAGATCCCTTGTTTCACAGGAGGGTAAAAATGCCAACAGAGAACTGACAGGATAAACCTGGAATAGGAAAGCTTTTACTTCCAGAAGTCACTCAGAACTTCAATCTAAACCTGCCAGCTAGCTGTCCAAGACATGGGATTTTGTGGTTTAACCATAGCATCATAGAACAGTTAGGGTTGGAAAGGACCGTAGGATCACCTCGTTCCAACCCTCCTGCCAAGGGCACCTTGCACTAAACCACGTCACCCAGGACTCCATCCAACCTGGCCTTGAACACTGCCAGGGATGGAGCATTCACAGCCTCCCTGGGCAACCCATTCCAAGCTCAAGTTTAAGCCTAAAAAGATTAAAAAAGGATGAGGCCAAGTAAAAGGCAAAAATATCCTGATTTCAAGTGGACAGAGGCAGCCCTTGAATGACAGAAATCACAAACAGGGTGGTTCATTCTGCAACTGCTCACAGCACAAGCCATTGCTTCAGGTGGAAATGACACACCAGTCATCACATCATCTGATCGTGCTGTTTGAGACTCATTTTGGCTGCATAAGGAAGCCCCAGAAATACAGCTTTGAGAGCTGCAAGAGAAAGTTGGGGTTTTTGTCATCTAACCTAAAGCTCTTGGGTAAATCAGCAGCTCTGCACTATCAGCAGCAGAAGTGTGGAATCAGCTGAAGTGGAACCAGCTAAAAGGAAGAAGACTGAATTCAAAGTCTGCCTTGTGATACTGAGCTTTAGTTCTACCCCAATTATGCCTTTTTAACTGTTTCCCCGTTGTAGGTGCTTGTGGGAGTCACCTTCCCTCCACCAGCCCCACTCCCCCGGGCTCATATTTAAAGACCTTTTCCATTTCTCATTAGTTGTGATGGAACCTGAAGGATGCAGAAGCAATGCCGCAGCTTCTGCTCAAGCCTTTAGACATGTGAAGGAACTGGAAAGTATGAAGTGCCTCATATTTCCCAGCAGAGGTTACTGATAGGAACCCAATCACGTTTTTACCAGGCACCATTTAAGCGAGAACCATTTGCTTTATCTGCTTTTGTTCCTCTAAAGCAGCAAATACTCTCCAGCAAGGCCTTGGAATTTCAAGGTGCCCTTATGTACATAAAGGCCACCCAACACTGGAGGAAAACACAGGGATGGTGCAAAACAAGCCTTGTCTCCTAGTAAGACCAAGCACTTTGGTACTGTTTCAGTCACTTCCACAGGCAGGTCCTGACTCCAGGCTGTGGCAGGATTTCTGGGACACTGCCACAATCCTGAGGGCTGGCTACAGAATTTGGGTCTTGAGATCAATTCAGTTCAAGCTCCAGAAGTTTAAGGGCATTAAGATTTGAAGATTTACGTTCATTAGCTTCATTAAAAGATCTGTTTCTAAGCTGGAGCTGCTCTTGCACCTACTGTCTGGGATCTTTATCTGAAAGCTGTTCACTTCAGTGGATCTGGAAGCCTGTGAGGAGGAGGCATCATCACATTTGGAGTAAGAATCACTCGGTTTCAGCCCAGCTTTTCCTACAACCAGTCACCAAGAGGAAAAGTAAACTAGGTGGGGAGGGAGGGCAGAGAGGAGGCAGGAGAAAAGCCTGTTTGTTCAAGCAGTCCCAGCTCCCTCCAGTGTCTCCCAGCAACAGAGGCAAAGCGCTTGTGGATGGATCTCTTTGCACCGTGTGGGGACTGCTGCCAGTGCTGCTGGGGAGGGCAGAGGGTACAAGAGAATGTTGCCAAGGCTGATTCAAACCCCACATCTGCAGCCCCTCTTTGGTCAGATACAACTCTCAATGCTGTCTGGCAGGAGCCAGGTAAGCTCCCTCTCATCAGGTGCTCATTAGAAAAGAATCCCACTTATTTCCCAGCGTTTTTGCAGTAGTGGAAGCAGCATTTTGCCCTCCCCCACCATACTCCATGCTTGGATGCCCTCTTCAGAGCTGTTTACTTAAACAGGGGAAGTCCAGGTTCCCTGTCAGGGTGGTGGGACACTGGCACAGGGTGCCCAGAGAAGCTGTGGCTGCCCCATCCCTGGCAGTGTTCAAGGCCAGGTTGGACACAGGGGCTTGGAGCAACCTGCTCTAGTGGAAGGTGTCCCTGCCCGGGGCAGGGGGGTGGGACTGGATGATTTTAAGGTCCCTTCCAATTTAAGTCGTTCTATGATTCTGTGATTCATCCTTACCCACTTGCAGCTTTGTTCTTACACGATGCAGGATGAAGGACAAGAAAGTTTTAACTTGATTTTAAGAAAGGTCAGCTCCTCTGCTGTGTGGGAAGCAGCAATGCCTGGTGCAGTACTGTGACCTGGAGAGGATGGTGCAGGATAAAAGGACCCTCCTCATCTTTTCCCTTCCTCTAAATATAGGTAAGAATTTTCAAACAACAACTTCTCCCCATGCATGGAGCTAACAGATTCTCAAAAGTTGCAGATGAGAGGACAACATGAGTCCAGGTCTCTGCTCCCAAAGCACTGGAGGCAGGTTGCCATGATCTGACACCATGAAAAATCTGCTTCCTTCTCTGCATCTCTTTTCCATAGCTGGAATCCAACTGCAAATTAACTCGGAGCACCAGGCCAAGTTCATTTGTTTCCATCACACTGCCCTCCCTTAATATGAAAGGGACTTGATGCTTTCAGGTTCAGACCCCAGCACTGACAGCTCTGCACTCAGAACACAGCAATGAGGACTTGCAGGTGCTTCTTCAGCACTGAAACACCCACGAACTTTTCCCCAAGCGCAGGGAATTGCCTAGTGCTAGATAAAGCTGGATGGTAATGAAATAATTACATGGCAAAGGATTACCTTTCACAACCCATGCTTTGCTAAACACTGGTTTGATCTGGAGGCAGTCACAGCTATGCACAGTCAGAGCTGTGTTACAATGAATGCGAAGGGAAATTCTGCTTTCATGCTCTCCACAAAAG